CTGAAAGCTTAATGACAACACATGTTCACACTGTGGTACCCACAAGCCCCAGGATACATGTCAGCAGTTTGCAATCACTTCATGTACAAATTCCAGTCTGATCCAATGTTCATTTTCAGTCTCTCTCTCTCTCTCTCTCTCTCTCTCTCCCTCTCTCTCTCTCTCTCTCTCTCTCTGTTTTATTGGATTGTGGTGCAGTTTGATGTGCCTTGCCACATTCTTATCCTCCATTTTTCATCTCACAGTATCCTTTTTCATCCCAGGCAAACTGGAAAAACATTTGAGAGAGTGGAACAGATACTCAATTGACAGGACAGTCAGAAATCTCTTGAGTAATGGGGGGAAAAAAGTAATTATTTTACTTCTCAAAAATATTCTAAATGACCTCTCTGAGTTGTAAAAACACAGACTAATACTGTCACAGGCAGTCCTGTTACATATTTATCAAAGACAACTGCAGTGAGTAATCAGAACTTTATTATTATAATAGAGATGTTGGCATCAGAAAAGGATCTTTTAAGGTCAGATTCTCTGACATTAGGAACATAGTGACCAATGCTGGATAGCTGATACAAAGTTCAGTTCCACAGATCCCAGTTATGAGAAGTCAGGATATTTGAAGGAAAACAGCTGTCAAAGAATCAGGCAGATATTTTGAATTCATATCAATAATTTTCTGCTCATGATTCTATCACAAAGCATGTTTCATACAACATTAAGCACACTCAAAAATACCATACAAGGTTTGTATCTTCATTCTTATACTCTGTTAGTTACAGCTGGAGAAAAAAACAAAAAACATTTTATGGTAGGAAAAGAAAAAAGAAACTACTTTATCACCAGACCATTAAGATAATTTGGAAAGTAGTTTCAGAACCATTAGGACAATCATGAAAATTTGCTGATAAAAATGTAAATTTAAGATTTCAAGTTCAGATTAAATCACTAAAGAGCATCTTGTTCAGCCATATTTTTTTTGTTAGAATTGTCTTCTGCTGCAGGCCTGGCATGACATCCAGTTACGGGTAGTATGACATACATGATGGCAAAATAAATACATGCTTAGATTGTATTCCACATAATTCTGCATGTTCCTAGTATATGCATCCTTACAGCCTGTAAAAAAACCTAGGAATGTCTCCTAAACCAGTATCAAAATTCTGTTTTGCAGAACTGTCATCTAGATAATCTTATGGATCAGATACATGTGTAAAGGAAAATATTGTCCTATGGTGGACACATATATGTGATAAAATTAATCTAATGCTTCTTATTTTCATTATGTCTTCAGACCCAGCCCAGTCTTCTGCTACACATTATTTTTTTACCAAGGTTTACCAAAAGGTGAGAAATTTTGGAAGAGATTCCAGGAGCAGTTTCATCTTGATACAAGACATTTTTTACAATGTATTTAATCACTGGAACAGTCTCCTGAGGAATGCGGTTGATTCCCAACAGAGTTTGCCTTTATGAGCTTATGGGATACTTTAGGCACATTTCATCTCACTCTAGCACCAGTGGAAAATGAAGTTAAAAGTTTTACTTATTATTAAGAGGTAAGGTCTAGTGTGTTCTCTAATAATATATTTGTGTTTAATTTAGCTCAGTGTTATTTTTTATAGTGTTTCTAGTATCTTTCCAGTATTGTTCTAGTACCTTTTGACCCATGGAGCCAGAAGCCTACTGTATGAATCTGCAGACTAAACTGCAATCCCTGTCTGTAAAATACACAATGCAAGTAGCATCTTCTCACTGTTGCTCACTGTAGTAACACTGACATTTCACACTTCATGTTCAAAATTGCAACATTGCCCTAGACATTAAGTATACAAAGAATAAGAGATGAAAATCAAAATAACTTACTAAAGGTTAAAGAAAAAACTGAAAGAAGATTGAGCGTATTCTATTTTAGTTTTCAGTATTTCTTTCAAATATCAGAACCCACAATACTCTGAGATTTGAGCACTTAGCATAGCGCATTTGGCAAAGAACTCAATGACATCTGAATGGAAGGAAATCAATTGTAATGTCTTGTGTGAACACACAGGTTTTGAACCTTGTACAAGACATATCCTTGGCTTTTCCATCCATGGCATATTCCTACATGCCTACAAAGATTTAACCTGCTGCTGGAGATCTAACTTTGTATCACAACTGGAATGCTGTGCTTCACTGCAGCCTGCCATCTTTTCTCCTAAGTGCATGCATACACGTGCCATAGTCCATCCTGCTAAACAATCATTTGGCCTTAATGACAGACAAATTCCACTGGTATTTCACAGTCTTTAGATGGTTTGCACTTCTGTGAATTATTCAGTATTTTTTTCCTGTTATTTTCCATGGAAAATCAGTAAGAGTTTAGGATACTCATTATCATGCAGAATCCTACCTTAATCCCCATCTGCAAAATGCATGTAGTTACTCCCTCCAAGAAGAGAGACATCCACTGAAGTCTGGCACGAGATTGGATGTTGTCACTTTTGTGTTAGAGGACAAGAACCACTCAGTGCAATGACATAAACATGATACATTTATTTGAAGCCTATTGCTGTTTTATTGTGAAATTCGTGTAATCTGAAATGTGTGATAATACATAATTGTTTCAAAAAGAAAATAATCTGGCTTTTGTTTTATTCTGTCTGACCTCTTAAAAACCAAACAAAACCCAACTGTTTTTAATTTCAGCATGATGGGAGAGACAATGACCTTTCTCAAGCAACAACTAAGCTCCTACAACTTGATTGAGCCCTTCCAAGACAGAAAACAAAATCAGAATTATTCCAGTCTCTTCAGATATAGAAGTTAAACAAAATCTCTTGCAAGGCAAACTTGATGAAGAATCTCAATAAATCAGAGATATATGTGGGACAATATGAAAATGCATCCTGTGGTACTGTAGGTAGAAAATTAATCGATTTTATGATTAAAAATTGCATTGTGTAATTTCAATGGTATATTAATTTTCCAATAAAATCCACCTTTAAAAGGCTGATTTCCTAGCTGCATGTTGCAGGAGGATATTGTAAATGACTGATTTCTTTTTCCTGTCAAACATGCCACGGGATGGACATATTACTGTGGAACTCAAGACTTACGGATCTGTTTTTCTATTTATAGCTCTCTTAAATGTAAAATTAGTTTTGTTGTTCACCGTAACTTGTTAGGTAAAACACTGGTTGGATTTTCTTTACAGTAGAGGGCATTCTTGGTGTGGAAAAAGATGTATCTAAATGTAAAGGATAAATCAAACTCAGCATATAAGCATCTGGTAAAATTTCCTGTTGTTCAGTAATTTGAATAGCATATGCTGCTGTAAGATTTGCAATTAGGGTTGTACATAAACAGTGTTGTTAATATTGTTTTAGCCCTGTGAGTAGACTGGGTGTTGAGTTTTCATCAGGCTTCATAGGAACTGCTTAGGCTGCTCTAGAAAGCCCTGCCTATATTTGCAAAAAAGTACATTTTCTAAGTATTCTGATAGTTTCACATATTGAGAGAAATTTCTCAGCCATTTCATGCATTCATGGCTGGGCTTGGCTTTGTGGTTTTTTTCATGTAAAAATTGCTAGCATTTCTGAGCTCAAATCTTGTCACAGTAAGATGTCTCTGCATTTGAAATTACATGAGTGTAGGAATTTATTTTTCTGACAACCTCTGTTCTGCTTTTGTCAGTGGTAAATTCCAGCTCAAGGAGATGTCAAATCAAATTTTTAATGAAGAGAGGTTTACCTAGGAAAAAATAATGATAATTAACACCTCACAGAAATTAAAATTCAAACCCACATATGTGTATGTATTAAAAGAAAACCTTATTAGATATCTACAAATTAAAGCTGCTTTGGCCTTAGTTTTCTATTTTATTTTTTTTTTTTGTAAAAACAAAGTTGAGAAATAAGTAATTTTGATGCTTTGTTGCAAAGTTTGAAGGAAAAAAGAAACTCTTATTTTCTAGCTATAAATGTTCTTTTTTTCTTTGACCAAACCACATACTCATTTTCTTTTGGATAATTTTCTTGAATCAAACTATCACCTATTTGTATAATTTTACAAACAAATGCCCAGTACTTCTTCCACCTGCCTTTACTGTCTTGCTTTGTTATTTTTAGTAGTACAGGCCTTGGGAAGCTATGTGTTCTCAGTGCGTCCTGGAGGCATTCAGCAGTATCATATATTCAAATTAGACACAGTGTCTGACTGATAAATACATGGATAATCAGCCATGGAGAGGCAGCCTTGCTAAAACAATATTCTGGACCCATCCACAAGTGAAGTTAATGTGGACTGGTAAAAAAAGTGTGGAAGTTATGTTGGCAGGAGCAAACCTAGAGTAAATCTGCGGTGCAGTGTGAACTGTGTATGGTCACACAACACAGCAATAGCAGGATACAGACCTATGTGCTGGGAAAAAATGTAATTTTTACTTAAGCTGCTAAATATACACGGTAGCAAGGGCTCTGTCATTCCTTTGCATGTACTCTCATGTTTCTGCCATAGGAGGTGGTAGAACTTGACATCCACAGGTACTCAGATAAACCATGAACTCGTTCATTTCAGGCACCTGACCACTTCACTGTGCCGCTGATACACCAGCCACGCCTCTGCTCAGGCGGCGAACCTGTGCCGCCGGTGCCTGGGGGCTCCTGGCTTCCCCTGGGGGGAAGTCCCGAGCGCCTCCCCTCAGCGGGGGAGTGCCGTGGCAGCCTGAGGTGCTGTGCGGGGGGGATAGCGAGGAGCAGCGGAGGCGCCGACGGGCCGGCCCGGACCGAGGCCTGTGCAGGGAGAGAGGGCAGCGCCCTCAGGGCGGCGCCGCCCGGGCCTGGCCGCAAGGGGGCGCCTCGCGGCGGCGGCGCGGGGGAGGGGGCGGGGGCGGTGTGGCCCTGGCTGTCAGCGCCGCCCGAGCCGGGCTGAGAGCGGGGCTGTGAGCGGGCTGCGACCCGAGCTGTGAGCCGAGCTGTGAGCCGAGCTGTGAGCGGGCTGCGACTGGGCTCCGAGCCGCACGCAGGCTGAGCCCCCGCGCTGCCATGGAGCCGCAGGCACGCGGTGAGTCTCCGGCGGGGGTCTCGTCCCTGCCGCCCGGAGCTGCGCTCACCCCTCGGGGAGGGCCGAGCCGGCGAAGGGACAGCGCGAACTGGGGAAGGGGGTACCCGGGACGGGGTGCTCGGGACTGGGGGGTGCTCGGGGCGGGGAGAGCCCGGGGCGAGGAGCGGGCCGGTGAGAGGAGCGCTGTGAGGGTGTCCGTGAGAGCTGCCCGGCGCCCTCCGCCTGTGGCGGCCCCAGGCTCGGCCCGGGAGCGCGGCATGACCCGGCCCGGTCCGCGGAGCGTCCTCGCCCTGCACCCCGTCTTCCATCCCGAGCCGGGATCCCCTTGGCTTTCCTTATGGTTGGGATGTTGGCGGCCGCTTTCTCCTCCTGCTGGCTTTAGATGTTTCGCGGTCAGGTGGCTGGCTGACAACAAGTCCTTGTTTAAGTTAGTGCCATCGAGATTTGTTGGTTGGTTGAGGTATTTTTATGTGTCCCGCTCCGCTGCCCGTCCCCCTCCCCCGGTCGGGCTGCAGCCACCACCGGGTTGGTGCGAGCCGGAGCCGGCATCGCCACCCCTGTCCCGGAGACAGCCGGAGGGCGGGAGCCGCCTCCAGCGGCAGAGAGCCTGGTACCTGGCAGAGCTCTGGATCCATCGAGAGCCGCTTAAAATTGGATCCGCTGAAATATTTCTGCAGCTTTGCAAACACGGCATTCATTCACCTAAAGTGAGCATTTTCTATTGCAACAGTTACGGCTTACTTAGCTGTTCCTATCTTTCTCTGGATAAAGTTAATTTGCGTCCAAAGAAGAGAAGAAACTTTTCATGCGAGTTACAAATGACGTTTGGGTCAGTTTAAGAGATTTAGCACAGACAGGTCTTGCTCATCTTTATAATCTTCATTCTGTTTTCTAAAGAACCTCAGGGCTTTGTCACACAGGACTAAGCAGGTGGTACAAATATTTCTGCAAAGTCAAAATGTTTAGGAAACATTTTATGTCATCTAAAACAGGGAGATGAAATAAGCAGAAGACATATGCTCATTGAAACTAACTAAAAAAATAGGCTTCCTAATTCCTAATAGGATAGTTAAAATGTGCCTTAAATGCACTTAAAAGAGATAATGTTGGCTACAAATACATTTGTATGTGCAGGAATACAGTAGGAAGTTTGAATTCACAGTGCTAATGAATGAGAGCCTTTTTTGCAAGTGTTGTGTATGTGCTGTCCCAATGGATGCATAGCTGAAGATGCCTGCCGAAATAAATAGATCAGTGGCTCAGTTCTTGGGATTTTTAGAAGTCAGTATTAAGACTTTAAACTAATTTTCTGAATACATCTGTATAGGTACTATGATGGGAGTTCCTGTTCATTAAATAGGAACTTCATATGATACAGAATTTGGATAATTTCTTGTTTTGTAGAGCTGATAGAAAAGAGTATCAGATTCTGGTTAGCTGGATAGTGATAGATGTACATGTGACTCTTGCTTTCTCTGACTAGTAAGATGAGTAAATATGCATGTTTTCAGTGTGTGTCAAAAATTTAGGTCAATAAATGTATTTTGCTAATGTATATTTAGGTCAGCAACTCTGTTACTTCCCCAGATCTTGAATGAATTCTTCTGAATGAGTATCTAATTCTTGAGTCACTTTTTTCTTTGGTTTCTCACCTGTGTGTTTCATTTCTACAGTCTCCCATTACTTAAAAAAAAAAAAAAAAAAAGTATTGCTTTGATAAACTAGCAGTAGAATCCAAGATTTTTGTGGTAGGTATTTGCGTGCCAGCAAACCTTTGTTTTTACCCTCCCTTTCCTTCTAGACTTAATTTAGTGCATGCTACTGCAGTTAGGGAGCCTTGCTGGCAAGAAGAATTCAACCTGTGTCTGATGCTGTCAAATTCAATTAAATACATCTAAGCACTGGTCAGAAGTCTGAGTTTTTCAATCCCAGTTACACGTTTTGCAGAGCACAGTTATAGCAGTTTATTAAAACAGTAGCAATTTGCTTGAAACACTGCTCTAATTCCAGTATCTCCTTAAGCAGCAGGAGAAATGTGTATATATTTCAATGAGTTTATTAATTGCTTCTAAAGAACTTTCAGATGCCACAGAGAAATGAGTCCTGAATGGTTTGTTCCAGCGTGCTCTGCTGCAGTATTGTATTCCAGCTGAAAAGATAAAGCTATGCATTTAAAAGCATAATTGTGTTGTTTGTGCCATTTTATATTGTCCTTAAGGCAGGCTGTGCCTGAGTAGAGCAATTTTATGTTCAAGAAATGCATGGAAGAATAAAACACAGATTTCTTCAGAGCAGGAAAATAATTTTTGTCAGCATTTTTACCTAGCAGCATGAGTCAACTTTATGAGTCTTAATGCAACTGTGGACAAAAGAAAAGTAGTATGTGCAAATGTATCAAGGTACTGGGTAGAGGTCACAGGTAAATGCCATGAGTTTCTGGGTGGTTCAAAGCACAACGTAGTATCTGTCCATGCCCCAAAGACTGTGAAAATTAAATGCTCTGATATTTACTTTAAAGTAGTAGAGTTCATGGACTGAAACAGAATGACTCCTATGCTTAAACATATTGAATATGTCTGGCAGCATTCATGTGAATGAACTAGATGAGATGGACATCAGACAGAGGGTAATAGTAATTTGTGTTAAAATTATTTTCTAAAAAAATAACCATATGTTCCATGTAAAAAAAAATCATAGTTATAATAAAAATAATAAATTTTACATTATATAAGTTTTATCTTTAAGCCTCTGTGTGCTTTTCTCTTCGATTACTTTTCTCTTTGATTACTTTTTGTTCTTAATGGATGAGCTGATCTGGGAACGCACCAGCTAGGCTTCTACTAGGCACTAAACATTTCCTGAGAGCATATTTGGTTTCCTTCCTATGGCTGCCATTCTCAAGTGAATTCACATTTCTCAGGTGAGAAGTTTGAAAGTCTGAAGAACAGTGTTTCTCTTTGAAAGGGAGGAAGGTCTGAACTGTGTATTTGCCTCTCGTCATACACATTCTACTCCAGGTCCAGGTTAATTATCACATGTAGTCCTGCTTTCCAATTTAAAACTGTGTATGTCCTGTAATAATTTATAATAATGTATAATAATCCATGTACCATGGGTGTCTTACTCTGTCTCTCATCTGAGAATTCCATGTGACTTTTAAACACTGGAGCTTTGCTCCTTACACATTTCTCTCCTTTTGCAATAATTCTTCATGCATCTAGATATAGTTGTACCTTCTTTCCCTGTCACATCCTCTCTTGATTCTTACTCTGATAAAAAGCTTTGATGTGCAGCTTTCTGCTCCCCTTTTACCTACACAGGTAGCTCAACCAGCTGCTTGCACTCCTGGCCTCTGAAGGGGTTTTTGAGGCATTTCCCTGTCCTAGCAATTCTCCTTAGAGCTGTTCCTGACAGATGTTCTGCATGGCCAGCTCTTCGTTGTAGCCATAATAGCTTGCGGTGGCTACACCTCACCCCTGTCAGGTATTGTGGTGAGAGCTGTGGTTAGCTCAGATGTTGGATGACTCCTCAAGGCCTTACCTTGTGGGCTTGCTTTGTCCCTCTGCTGTGTGCAGCTGGCACGCTCCTTCTGGGATCCTCAAGCCAGCTGCGTCTGCCCTGTGGTGTTACAGAGCAGAGGCAGCACCTTGGCATGTGCATTTGAGTGAAGCTTGTGTTCAGAGGAGTATCTTCAGAAGTCACAGCATTAGCCCAGTGCACTCACTCTGCCACGGTGGCACCTGCCATCTCAGTCAGGTGATCTGAGGTCTCCAAGGTGAGAGGCAGTGGTGAGGAGGGCTTGTGTTACCTGCGATACGGTGTGCAAGACTTGCCAAAATGGCACTGCCAGCTTGGTCAGTGTTCTCTGTTCTTGCTAGCTACTCCTGTGGTTACTAATCCAGATAGGAATCTGGATAGTCAATCTTGCAGTGGGGAGATGGGGATAGAGAGCACACAGTGATGTTACCTCACTGCAGCAGCAGTGCTGTAGCCATCACACCAAAGCAGTGTCTTGCTGGAGAGGGCAGCATCTTCCCTATCCTTGTGTTTGGGTCTGGTGCTTTGCCAAGGAGCACTGACTCTTCCGATCTATGTTCACCTTTTCCCTAAGGACAGAGTAAAACTACTGGTTTGGAGCTGATTTAGTATAATTGTTTTATGAGAAGTGCTTGTCCACATGTGCTTTTCGAGGCATCAGGATTCGCTCTAGCTGTCCAGGGGTTTGTGCTGTCTCTGCCTTCTAGAGCTCAGCATTGCCCCTCTATGAAAAGCAGGAGAGAGGACTTTGCAAAGGGTCAGGAGGATATTAGAGTAATTGAACCAGCCAGCGATAACCTGCTTATTTCACTGCACAGTGGAGGTTTCAGCTGCTCTGCTAGTAAGACCACATGAAGAGGAGGTCAAGTGAAAAAGGCAGGGTTATAATTTATGATAGGATTCTTAAATATTTAACAAGAGTGCACAAAGCTCGAAATAATAGCTCTTTCATGCTTCTTATACTACAAGGAGAGAAAATGCATGTGTGGAATGAGTTATTTGGTATATCGGATTTTAAGCAAGTAAATGTCTGAAATCAAATTCAATGCTTCTCTTTTACATTTTTGAACCTGTACTGTTCAAGCTTCATGACTCTTGTCACAGGTTGAAATTCAGTTTGCTGAGGCTGAGAAAACTTGAGTGGCTTCATGCTACACCTGAGAACTTAAAATAGCATCCTATGGGATTCAGAAATGAGATATAAAAAAGAGACCTGATCTAAAAACTAGGGCCAGTCTTACAAGTCTTTTTAACTTAGACAGTTTTGCAGCCATGAGGACATAAAATGTAGAACATGCTAAAACAAAGACATCTAACCCTAAATCATGTTTTAAAATTCTTGCACTATTTTTTTCTCCTGTGTCTTATTCTCACAGGTCCAGTGGTATGAGCCCTACAAAGCAGCACGAGTATAATCTGAGTCTGCTCTCTGTACTAAAAGTGTGCTAGTGGAAAGATGAGTC